AATCTCTGTCCACAACTTTCGCTGGCTAAGCCATCTCTTACGTCAGCATCTATAAGGTCAAAACCCCCTCAAGGGAGGTTCCTTGATGCTGGCAAGGGGCTCTTGATCTAGGGAATTAGATCTGTGCTCCAGTTCCTTGAATTGAGCCTGAATGCCTTCCATCCCCCCTCCCCACAGGCTCTGTGTAATCCTACGGGTTTAGCACTCCCCCATGATTATTATGTCAAAAACACCTCTGAAGTCCAAAACTCCCTACCAGCATATTGTTCCCCCACAACTTTTCCTGCCTCTGGATTTTGTCCCTTGCATTGGTGACAGGTGTACATCCATCCACCCCAACGTACTACTGCTACCTAGCCTTTCCCCGTTCAGACTCCTACCTCCTAGGACACCTCTGTCTTAATCTTCTCATCTGATAACTACGAATGTCTCCACTCTACGCCACCTACATCTGCCTTTCGCACCATGCTTCCCTGTCTACAGAAACACTGAAGTTATATTTTTTATTGAAAAATGAAACTGGTGAGGGACAACAACCCACCCACCCCATACCTTCACATTCTCACCTACAGTCTCCCACCACATCTGCTTCTGCATACCATCTTCTCGGGGTTCCTGCAAATCACATTTTGTTTACTTACCGCTACCACCACACACTGACTACTGATCATCCTAGCCCATAGACACTGCCAACTTCCTATTGCCTTTGTCTTCCTACTTAGTGCTATAGGTGTGTGTGTGTCTTCACAGGAACCAAAATTATACTACAAATGACCTCCCTATTTCTGGCAGTGTTATTAGTCACTACCCATTTCCTAATGAGGCATTTAAGAGTACCTCTTGTGTTCAATATCTCATTATTAACTTTCATTCGTACTCTGCTTCATTATACTATGGCACGTGTCCATTCTGCAAGTGGTACACAGTATTCTTTTTGAATCTTCCTCCTTCATACACAGTGTCTATTTCTGATTTCGGTTTTATTTCTTCCTTGCTCCTGCCACACTTTTTTATTGGGTGATTTTCAACATTCATTTTCTTTAGGGAGGGTCTCACTGTGATTCGTGGAGACCAGTAGAGGCTTTTCTCATTTCCTTTCCATGTTTCAAATACTGGCACCCATACATATTCCAGTCCTCGCACTTGAACTTTGTCTTTTCTAAATCTTTCTATTTGCTCTTCTGTAGCACTTTACTTTTATTGGTCTGTGGTATCTGATCTGCACGACAACGATAATTTTCATTCCCTTTAAAACACCAGACCTCATCGTTGCTTCCGTTTACAGTTTGAACAAGTGGTTTGGTCACTATTCTTGCCATTCCTCTAGGTGCTGCTCCTTCACCCTCTTCAGATAACTGAAAGGTGAGGGTGAACTGTACTAGACGGCCCAAACAGACTTACCTCGGATTGAATGGGAATGGTGACTAAACTTGAGCTGGGTACTTAACAGCTGTACCAGTAGTTTAGATCACTGAAACATCCTATCTATTCACACAGCTAAATAAAGGCCAGATAATATTATAAAGTACAGTAGCTTCGTTTTAGCTACTGAAAAAAGCCATTAAAACACAATACTTGACCGAGTGGGTCTACCAGTGAGGGGCGTAACACAGACCCTGTTGACGTTGAATATTAAGTGTTGGCTCTCTCTCTCTCTCTCTCTCTCTCTCTCTCTCTCTCTCTCTCTCTCTCTCCTCTCTCTTCTCTCTCTCTCTCTCTCTCTCTCTCTCTCTCTCTCTCTCTCTCTCACACACACACACCAGGAGCTATAATTCGACCCCTGCAACCACAAATAGGCGAGTACACACATGCAGCTAGGAGCTGTGAATTGACCCCCACAACTAGGTGAGTGTACACAAAAAAAAATAGGCGCACACACACACACACACACACACACACACACACAAAGTGCACCAGAGAATGGAAAAGGTACAGGAGGCAAAGGACCCAAGAAAACAGAGATTAATTGAAGAGCCAGAAACGAGTATGCACAGGTAAGGAGGGAGGCCCAGCGACAGTGCGAAAACGACATAGCATTGAAAGTCAAGTCTGACCTGAAACTGCTGTATAGCCACATTAGGAGGAAGACGATAGTCAAAGACCAGGTGATCAGGCTGAGGAAAGAAGGTGGGGAACTCACAAGAAATGGTCAAAAGGTATGTGAGGAGCTCAACATGAGATTTAAGTATTTACAGTGGAGACAGGAAGGCCTCTAGGACAGAACAGAGGGGGACGCCAGCAAGGAATATACCAACAAGTGTTGGATGACATACAACTGAGGAGGAGGTGAAGAAGCTGCTTAGGGACATTGATACCTCAAAGGCAATGGGACCAGGCATCTTCCCGTGGGTCCTTGGAGAGGGAGCAGAAATGCTGTGTGTGCCACTAACCACAATCTTCAACACATCCCTTGAAACTGGGCAACTGCCTAAGGAGACAGAAAAGAGGCACTAAACTATAGACCAGTGTCACTGATATGTATAGTACGCAAAGTCATGAAGATTATCAGGAGGAGAGTGGTGGAGCACCTGGAGCGGAACAAGAGTATAAATGCCAACCAGCACGGATTTATGGAAGGCAAATGCTGTATCTCAAACCTGGAGTTTTATGATAAAGTAGCAGAAGTAAGACACGAGAGAGATGGGTGGGTTGATTGCATCTTGGACTGCAAGAAGGCCTTTGACAGTTCCTCACTAGGGATTAGTGCAGAAGCTAGAGGATCAGGCACATATAACAGGAAGGGCACTGCAATGGATCAGAGAATACCTGATAGGGAGGCAACAGCAAGTCATGGTACATGATGAGGTATCACAGTGGGCACCTATGACAAGCAGGGTCCCACAGGGATCGGTCCTAGGACCAGTGCTATTTTTGGTATATGTGAATGACATGATGGAAGGGCTAGACTCAGAAGTGTCCCTGTTTGCAGATGTGAAGTTAATGAGGAGAATTAAATCGTATGAGGATAAGGCAGGACTTCAAAGAGACCTGGACAGGCTGGACACCTGGTCCAGCAACTGGCTTCTCGAATTTAACCCCACCAAATGCAAAGTTATGAAGATCAGGCAAGGGCAAAGAAGACTGCAGATGGAGTTTAGGCTAGGTGGCCAAAGACTGCAAACCTCGCTCAAGGAGACAGATCTTGGGGCGAGTATAACACCGAGCATGTCTCCGGAAGCACACATCAACCAGATAACTGTTGCAGTGTATGGGCACCTGGCAAACCTGAGAATAGCATTCCGATACCTTAGTAAGGAATCGTTCAAGACACTGTACACCGTGTATGTCAGGCCCATACTGGAGTATGCAGCACCTGTTTGGAACTCATACTTGATCAAGTACGTCAAGAAATTAGAGAAAGTGCAAAGGTTTGCGACAAGGTTAGTTCCAGAGCTAAGGGGAATGTCCTATGAAGAAAGGTTAAAGGAAATCGTCCTGACGGCACTGGAGGACAGGAAGGTTAGGGAAGACATGATAACGATATACAAAATACTGCATGGAATAGACAAGGTGGACAGAGACTGGATGTTCCAGAGAGGGGACAGAAACAAGGGGTCACATTTGGTAGTTGAAGACCCAGATGAGTCAAAGGGATGTTAGAGTAGTCAGGAAGTGTAATAGCCTAGCAAGTGAAGTAGTGGAGGCAGGAACCATACATAGCTTTAAGATGAGGTATGATAAAGCTCATGGAGCAGGGAGAGAGAGGACCTAGTAGCACTCAGTGACGAGGCGGAGCCAGGAGCTGAGTCTCGACCCCTGCAACCACAATTAGGTGAGTACAATTACGTGAGTACACACACGAGTATACATACACACACGAGCACAAGATGAACAGCGACAACTGGTGTTAGGATATGTGCCTCTGTTTCCTCCTACCTCAGGTCCTGGGGTTGTGATTCATGAGACACCACAGATTTCTTTATAAATCTTCTTTGAGGACTTTCCTTGGAATGTTTAACACTGACAGAATATATACACCGACGGGGGAGGAGTTAAATTTAAGTGTAAACACGTTGTATGACCTTTGTGGGTTTAGCGCTTAGTTTTGATTATAATAGTGTAAACGCTGGGAATTTAAATTATTTTTTGGGGATTAAAGCATTTCTGACGTGATGAACGGGTTACTTGTTGTCACTGATGGGATTTTAAACCCAATTTTGATTTAACCAGTTGACTAGCCTCTCCCTCCTCCTCGGCTGCTGGTGTGATTTTAGTTGCTGGTGTTGTGGGTGTGTAGCAATCTCTGGCTGAGCAGCGGCAGCAGCGGCGGCAGCAGCAGCGGCGGCAGCAGCGGCAGCAGCGGCAGCAGCGGCAGCGGCGGCAGCAGCAGCGGCAGCAGCAGCAGCAGCGGCAGCAGCAGCGGCAGCAGCGGCAGCAGCAGCGGCAGCAGCAGCAGCAGCGGCAGCAGCGGCAGCAGCGGCAGCAGCAGCAGCAGCAGCAGCAGCAGCAGCGGCAGCAGCAGCAGCGGGCAGCAGCAGCGGCAGCAGCGGCAGCAGCAGCGGCAGCGGCGGCAGCAGCAGCAGCGGGCAGCGCAGCGGCGGCAGCAGCAGCAGCGGCAGCAGCAGCAGCAGCAGCAGCGGCAGCAGCGGCAGCGGCAGCAGCAGCGCGGCGCAGCAGCAGCGGAGCGGCAGCAGCAGCGCGGCAGCAGCGGCAGCAGCAGCGGCGCAGCAGCGGCAGCAGCAGCAGCAGCAGCAGCGGCAGCAGCAGCAGCGGCAGCAGCAGCGGCAGCAGCAGCAGCGGCAGCAGCAGGCAGCGCAGCAGCGGCAGCAGCGGCAGCGGCAGCAGCAGCGCGCAGCAGCAGCAGCAGCGCAGCGCGCAGCAGCAGCAGCAGCGGCAGCAGCAGCAGCAGCAGCGGCGGCAAGCAGCAGCAGCAGTGCGCGCACGACAGCGCAGCAAGCAGCAGCAGGCAGCAGCGAGCAGCAGCGCCGGCACAGCACGGCAGCAGCAGCAGCAGCAGCCAGCAGCGCAGCAGCAGCAGTGGTGGTGAACCTGCTGGGCTGCGTCTGCTGGTCATCAGTATGTGTCTGTCAGTGGGAGTGAGTGGGTGTACTTCACTACTATCGCCTTCCTACATCCACTTAACCTTTCTCGTGTCGTCTAAGAAAAGTGAGATATTTTATCCGTCTACACCGAGCCTGGTAAATGCCTCTATAGCAGTTTGATCAGTTCTTTTTATATATATAGGTTTGTATGTTTAATTTTTAGAATGTTTTCATATAGTAACTTGCATAGAAATAAACCCAGTAAAGTCAGTTACTTGTATGACATACTGATAAATTTTAGATTTCTGTTCCATTAGATCTAACCTGAATTGTTTTCAGGTATAGGTATACACCCCCCCTTCCAGGTGCTGTATAACTCCTATGGGTTTAGCACTTTTTCGTGAATATAAAAATATAATTTCTATAAACCCATTATTCTGATGTAAAACCATCTTATGAAATATAACAAAGTTAAATATTTGTTTTATCAAAAATAACTAGAATATAATAATAATAATTATCTTTCTACAAGTACACGTACAAGGTATACAAACCTAGCTGACATCAATGACATACTGCTATATAGAAAGCCGCTTGTTATGCTGAGCATTTCGGGCAAATTAGGTCAGTTTTGTCCCAGGATGCGACCCACACCAGTCCACTAACACCCAGGTACCCATTATTACTGATGGGCGAACATAGACAACTGGTGTAGTGAAACACGTCCAATGTTTTCACCCCTTCGCCGGGAATCGAACCCGGACCCCTCACCGTGTGAAACGAGGGCTTTTGCCACCAGGCTTGTTACGCAATGTTCTCTTTAATTAGTAATTTAATGTATAATAATCTTTTACTTTATCGAATTATTGAGTGTATAACAATATTTTTATGACAAGACGTGCAGGTTTAATGCTTGGTTTAGAAAGACACATAGGCAAACACTATGACATATTAGAAAACGTTTCGGTCCTGGAACCTTGATCACTTCTAACATAAAAAGGTAGAAAGACATTATATAGAGGCGGAGAGTGAGGTGTGAGTGACGCATGGTGACCTGAAGAATGTCATCACCGACACAATAGAACATAACACTGGAAACCACAAAATTTCAAAAACATTAGCATACATGATACTTAAGCAGGCTAAGCACCACCAACCCAACAACACAGGAGTCATATGATCTCATCGTCTACCCGTCTTCGTCCCAATATGACATTCTTCAGGTTACCATGCGTCACTCACACCTCACTCTCCGCCTATATATATGTCTTTCTACCTCTGTATGTTAGAAGTGATCAAGGTCGCAGGACCGAAGCGTTTTCTAATAAATATATCAGTGTTTGCTTACGTGTCTTTCTAAACCAACTTATCGGTATTTATTACCAAGGTTTATACCAGGTTTAAGGCTTCCCACTGAATAATACAATATTTTCATTTCGTACACGTTGTGCATATAATGGATGTGTGTACTTGTTAGTGTTTACTTGCACACCCACAAGCATTGTGACTAGTTGGATGAATCTTATTATAGCCAGGTGGCCGAGTGGCTTACGCACTGGCCTGAAGTTATGACTCGCTCACCATGGGTTGAAAGCCAACTCGTACCGTGGTTTGCATTTATCATTATGGAGATCATCGCACCCGTTGCTCTTAGACCAGGTCTCTTAATTTTTAATGGAAATATTGAACTTTTGAAGGGAGGTGTGCTTTGGGGAAGGAGAAGGGCACTTGAACCAAAAAATAAAGACTTGATCTCGCATGATTGCGTCCCATTCCCAAGGCGGTGTATTACAACCCAGGGACAATAAGGGCCTGTTATCCTGAGTGTAAAGGGGAGCGACAAGCAGAACAAATTCAGCTGAATGACTTTGAAATATATTTTCCTTCAAGAGCAATGTGAATATTTACAACTATGTACACTATATACAGTTGGAAAATGTATGTGTACAACACGGTTTAGGCAAGGCCAAGACACAGCCTGGAGAAAGAATGGACAACCGTGCTCAACCAGTTCTAGTATGGAAATGACAAGGGCAGACAGGCGGGTGGTGCCCACAACACCTCTGCGATTGCCAGAACCATCTTCTCATTGGCCGAACCTGTGTACTGATCAAACGATGGGGCCCCATCGTTCGACCCCTAGTACTGGTTTGCCTTTTCCATCCTATGGAGAGGGAGCATGGACACGGGGGTCGTCCCACAGTTACTAAAATCAACAGACATAGCCCCACTCCACAAAGGGGGCAGTAAAGCAACAGCAAAGAACTACAGACCAATAGCACTAACATCCCATATCATAAAAATCTTTGAAAGGGTCCTAAGAAGCAAGATCACCACCCATCTAGAAACCCATCAGTTACACAACCCAGGGCAACATGGGTTTAGAACAGGTCGCTCCTGTCTGTCTCAACTATTGGATCACTACGACAAGGTCCTAAATGCACTAGAAGACAAAAAGAATGCAGATGTAATATATACAGACTTTGCGAAAGCCTTTGACAAGTGTGACCATGGCGTAATAGCGCACAAAATGCGTGCTAAAGGAATAACAGGAAAAGTCGGTCGATGGATCTATAATTTCCTCATTAAGAGAACACAGAGAGTAGTCAACAGAGTAAAGTCCGAGGCAGCTACGGTGAAAAGCTCTGTTCCACAAGGCACAGTACTCGCTCCCATCTTGTTCCTCATCCTCATATCCGACATAGACAAGGATGTCAGCCACAGCACCGTGTCTTCCTTTGCAGATGACACCCGAATCTGCATGACAGTGTCTTCCATTGCAGACACTGCAAGGCTCCAGGCGGACATCAACCAAATCTTTCAGTGGGCTGCAGAAAACAATATGAAGTTCAACGATGAAAAATTTCAATTACTCAGATATGGTAAACACGAGGAAATTAAATCTTCATCAGAGTACAAAACAAATTCTGGCCACAAAATAGAGCGAAACACCAACGTCAAAGACCTGGGAGTGATTATGTCGGAGGATCTCACCTTCAAGGACCATAACATTGTATCAATCACATTGCTAGAAAAATGACAGGATGGATAATGAGAACCTTCAAAACTAGGGAGGCCAAGCCCATGACACTCTTCAGGTCACTTGTTCTATCTAGGCTGGAATATTGCTGCACACTAACAGCACCTTTCAAGGCAGGTGAAATTGCCGACCTAGAAAATGTACAGAGAACTTTCACGGCGCGCATAACGGAGATAAAACACCTCAATTACTGGGAGCGCTTGAGGTTCCTAAACCTGTATTCCCTGGAACGCAGGAGGGAGAGATACATGATTATATACACCTGGAAAATCCTAGAGGGACTAGTACCGAACTTGCACACGAAAATCACTCGCTACGAAAGCAAGAGACTTGGCAGACGATGCACCATCCCCCCAATGAAAAGCAGGGGTGTCACTAGCACGTTAAGAGACCATACAATAAGTGTCAGGGGCCCGAGACTGTTCAACTGCCTCCCAGCACACATAAGGGGGATTACCAACAGACCCCTGGCAGTCTTCAAGCTGGCACTGGACAAGCACCTAAAGTCAGTTCCTGATCAGCCGGGCTGTGGCTCGTACGTTGGTTTGCGTGCAGCCAGCAGCAACAGCCTGGTTGATCAGGCTCTGATCCACCAGGAGGCCTGGTCACAGACCGGGCCGCGGGGGCGTTGACCCCCGGAACTCTCTCCAGGTAAACTCCGGGTAATAGCCTTTCAATGAGGGTGTGTACATGCGCTGAATAAAGGTTATGTACTCTTTGCATGCCACTCCCCCACCCCGAGAGGGCTCAGGAAAAGGCTCCCACCTCCCATTAGTAACCGTGCCACCATGGCACCATATCCATTAGTAACCATGCCACCATGGCACCATATAATGGGACTGCCTTTCCTCTCATCCATCCAACTCTTAGAGCTTAGCTTTATTCGAACCATAAAGCCAAACCCTAAACTTAGAGTGAGACAGCAGACAGTAGGGCTAATGTAGGTCCAAGGTGTGGGCGGACGGTAACCCGCACCCTCTCACTAAAAAAAAAAAAAAAAAAAACACATGTATAAAGGGGGAAAGAAGAGCTAGAAACTGGTTACAATACCTGGAGTTTACCTGAAGAGAGTTCCGGGGGTCAACGCCCCCGCGGCCCGGTCTGTGACCAGGCCTCCTGGTGGATCAGAGCCTGATCAACCAGGCTGTTACTGCTGGCTGCATGCAAACCAACGTACGAGCCACAGCCCGGCTGGTCAGGAACCAACTTTAGGTGCTTGTCCAGTGCCAGCTTGAAGACTGCCAGGGGTCTGTTGGTAATCCCCCTTATGTATGTTGGGAGGCAGTTGAACAGTCTCGGGCCCCTGACACTTATTGTATGGTCTCTTAACGTGCTAGTGACACCCCTGCTTTTCATTGGGGGGATGTTGCATCGTCTGCCAAGTCTTTTGCTTTCGTAGTGAGTGATTTTCGTGTGCAAGTTCAGTGCTAGTCCCTCTAGGATTTTCCAGGTGTATATAATCATGTATCTCTCCCGCCTGCGTTCCAGGGAATACAGGTTTAGGAACCTCAAGCGCTCCCAGTAATTGAGGTGTTTTATCTCCGTTATGCACACCGTGAAGGTTCTCTGTACATTTTCTAGGTCAGCAATTTCACCTGCCTTGAAAGGTGCTGTTAGTGTGCAGCAATATTCCAGCCTAGATAGAACAAGTGACCTGAAGAGTGACATAGGTCCCTAACACATCCTAACCTAATATAAAATCTAAGATCTGGACAATGTGTTGCTGTATAGCCCTTGTGGCTTAGCGCTTCTTTTTGATTATAATAATAATAATGGACAATGTGTCTGCCAACTTGTTTTCGTTATATGGTTGCAGCCTAAGTGACCACCTCATAATTCATGTGTTGTGATTCTTCATGTTTTGAAGATAAATTAGAGGGTTGTGGTCGGTGTAGACTGTGACCACCTGCAAAGTCTGGCTCGCATATATATCGAAGTGCTCCAAGGCCAGTACCAGCGTGAAGGCTTCTCTTTCAGTTTTTGAGTAGGCCCTCTGGTGTGGCTGGAACTTCGCTGATAAGGCTACAGGCTTCAACCCCTCATCCCCGTTTTGCAACAGTGCTGCCCCAACCCCAGACTCACAAGCATCAACCTGTAAGGAGAAAGGTTTGGAGAA